CCCCGCCCAGGCCCCGCCCTATTCTCCGCCTTGGCCCCGCCTCCAAGGCGGAGCTAGGTGCTGTCTCCAGGCTCTCTCTTCCGCACCCCGCCCCACGTCTCTTCTGGCCCAATAAGGGGATAGGCTGCTTCTTTGACGTACAAGCCGCAAGCCAATGGGCGTAGAGGGCGTGGCTAGCGCAGCAGTGATAAGGAAGCTTGAACTCTGGCCTTTGGTTGATAGCAGTAGTTGTTGCTTTCCCTGATTTATTTATTTATTTATTTATTTTGGTCGTGGAGCGAATGGGCTTGTGCCAAGTTGTCCTCCTTTCCTCCAGTATAGATGAGTGTCTCGCCCGTGACCTTTCTGCTCCATCCGTAAAAACCCGCCCGGCAGATGGGGCCAAGGGGAAGCTGCGTCTACATTAGGAAGCATTGGAGGAGCTCCTCTGTCTCAGAACTGACTAGGACAGACTCCAGTTATTGAGGCACCTGAGTCGTTTACACGTTTCTTCCAGGATTTAGCCTGCTCGACTAAAATCTTAGTTCAGTTTTTAACTGCAAGTAAAGGAGCATTTCCTCTAAGTTCCTCGTTATATCCTGGCCTGCATCAGGGCTAGGCATTACCAAGCTCCTGTTCTTTTGTGTTTCTCTTGGAATTGGATATTTTTATGTTGTTTATTTTTGTTTTGTTTTTACTTTTTATTGTACATATTCATTGTACATGTTACTGTGCCCCATAAAAATGCTTTCACATAAGTATACATTGTATCTTGAACACATGCTCCACCCCCACTACACCCTCCCCCTTTTTTTCTTCCACCTCCCATAGACCCTTGTTCCCCCAGAGTCTAGCCTAGACAGTTTCCTTATTCTTACTTATGAGTTTCTATGCTGTCTTCTATCTTGTATGCTAGTAAACCCTAGAGCAGCTGTTCTCAAGCCGTGATTGCGAGCCCTTTAGGGCTCGAACAACCCTAAACAGTAGCAAAATTAAAGTTATGAGAAGCAACAAAAATGATTTTATGGTTGGGGGGGTCACAACAACATAAGGAGTTGTATTAAAGGGTCACAGCATTAGAAAGATTGAGAACCACCTAGAGTTTATGACTGTATTGGATTAGGAACCCTTAAGCTACTGTTGGAAAGTAGGGGTGTGTGTGTGTGTGTGTGTGTGTGTGTGTGTGTGTGTGTGTGTGTGTCTGATATATCCAAAAGCTGAAAACAGTTTTTTCCAAATTGTTTCTCAACTAGTCTTTTTCTTCATATATCAAGATCTCCTGAGTAAATTTGGAGCGTGGGGGTCACGGGAGAGGGTGGAAGGAGACGGGGAGGAAGAGGAGCAGAGAAAAATGTATAGCTCAATAAAAAAAGACTTGGAAAAAAGTGACAACTGCCTTTTATTCATCCATTATCTGTCACTTAACTTCCAGCATTCTACCCCATCCTCCTCTCTGCAATCTGCTCCACAGTTTTATCAGTAATTTATTGTGTTTCCTTTCCTTT